ATATCATATCATATCAGATATATATATATATATATATATATATATATATATATATATATATATATATATATATATATTCGTATAGGAAACACGTACTTGATTAATAATAACTTTGTGCCTTAATCAATAATAAACCTGCGCATTCTTTTTTTTTAATTCTTAAAACCCACCATCGTTTTTTTAGAAAACCCTCTCTTTCAAAGACCAGGCAATCTATTTCCCCTAACAGAATATATAAAATGATGATACACCTTCCCGGATATTCTACATCATATCGGATACACCATATCTGATCAGCGCTAACCATCTCAAACTTGTTTTCATCAATAAATATTACATAGAAAAACCATGAAATTTCTGGTGTTTTTTCTTTCTGAACAAAAATGCTACTTCCCCTTGTAATTTTTAAGACTCAAGACATTTATTCTCGGACACTTTTCAGACTGAAACTTTTGCAACAATACACATTTCGTCATTGATAGACTTAGAAATCATAGTTGAGAGAGATTTTTCATCTTCTTCCTTAAAATGAGTCATCTGTCATCTTTTATTTTACTTGATTTGGTATTATGACCTGTTGTTTTCTTCCCCTCTGCTTTCTCATTTATATCTTTGTCCAACTCTGTTCAAGAGACTGTGAAACATGAATTCTCTTTTCTTCGATTTTTTCAAAACATCATTTCACTCCCAAAAAGTCGATAATGTCACTAAGATGTCCGCAGTTTTCTGAAACTGAAAGAGATTGAGAAGACTTTAATGAGGAGAAGTGACAATTAAAAGGCAAGATCAGGAAGACAGAAGATGGCGACTGGAGTTGAATTTAAATTTTTGAAGATTGTAGGTAGAATGGAAGTTAGAAACCGGAAGTGAGTTCTAAAAATGAAAAAGGAAGTTATTACAATTAAACGTACCTCTATATCTAGCTATTTCAACGTAACACAATGAGACCTAGCAGTCGAGTTTTAAATTCATGTGATCGAGTTACCAAGAGGAGAGCAATCGCCATGATATGCTGGATTATTTTTGTTAGTTTGATAGAGACCAGTGAATGATTTTTAACATGGTACAACTCGAGAGGCATCTTACGTAAATAAAATAAAAATAATAATAAAATCTTTAATAGCTGAACGAATAATAATCAAGAAATGACTGGCTATAATATTTAGCCACTCGACATTTCAAAAATGCAAACTTTAGGAATTAGTTCATCTGTTTATAAAATATTGAGCAAAAAAGAGAATCATGGCCAAGGTGTCAAAAACACAGGAAACATCAATTCAAAGCCATAAAAATATTGCTAGTCATGTGAAGTTAGGCGCAGAGTTAGAAGGGAACGCAGCACGTGACTTAAAAAAAAGATATTAAACCAGTTCAGAATCAAGATAAAAATACAGTAACATCAATACTTTTGATCCTCCAAAAAGACGACAAAAAAAAAAACTGACGATTTTGACTCACTGAGTGTGACACGTTCAACCTACTGCAGACTCAGTACCGCTCATTAGCAAAAATGCCGGCTTTATTGTAAAGGTACTCGCATCATATAACTATGTCCCTCGCATTAAGCACACGCATGTGCACGTACACACAAACACACGAACACACGCATATAATGCACGAAATATAGAATTTAAATATTAAAAAATTCAAAACTTGGTAAAAATACAAATAAATGCATTCAAACTTTATTACACGTAGGTATTGCTTCTATTTAATTCTATTTTTGTAAGTTAACAAGTAAGACAGGATAGAATAATACACACACATGCACACACACACACACACACACACACACACATATATATATATATATATATACACAGTCATATATATAGTGCATATATATAACATATATGAAGCATTTATATATATTTAACGCATATATATATATATATATATATATATATATATATATATATAAAAACTGATAATTATTCAAAGATATATTGTTAAATTTAACAATATAACAGACAACGAATGTCGATTATGTTTTATCATGCTCTGTTCCAACTGTCGTATAATGGCTTTAGCTTCAAGAGAGAATTAAGAAAAAGTTTCCAACATTTGCATATTTCTTTATTATAATGGTCGTCAATCTAAGTTTTCGGCTCACGTGAGCCAGAATCAGAATGGATATATGGATATTCAGCGTCAAAGATACCCACCTGTTTTGTTTACATAGAAGTTTCCTATGCGACGATACTGGTCGCAGAATAGCAGACGCAGGCCGATTATATATATATATATATATATATATATATATATATATATATATGAAGGCCATATACATTAGAACAAAACAACCCACACTCAAAAAATTACAATTAATATTAATATCTCTTTCTCTCTCTCTCTCTCTCTCTCTATATATATATATATATATATATATATATATATATATATATATATATATTGGAGGCCATCTACTGTAGAACAAAACAAACCATACTCAAAAAAATTACAATTCAAACCAGTTAAAACATATTGCAATGCATTTAAACGTGTAGTTCTGTTGATAATATTTCTTTCTTTCACATGGTCATGAATGACGTCATTAAACTTGATGACATATATATATATATATATAGCGTGTCTTAAATGCCACTTGAGTTTATCGCATAAACTTTCCTAACTGAATCATTTAGCTCTCAGATCCTCATACGTCAAAACCGACGAAAGGGTCCATTATTATTGTTGTTATATATATATATATATATATATATATATATATATATATATATATATATATATATATATTTTCAGACGATCATTTCAATTATATTTAATATTCTGTTGTTTATCGATTAGGCGCTTTATGTTAGATCTTGTAATTGTGGTTTTAATTCTAAATTCTTTTAGCTAATGAATAATTATTTCAGTAGATGAGTTTTTTGGTGAAGTTTAGTAAATTCTGTATATTTTCTTTGTATATCTATGTCTATTTGTCTTTTACATTTACTTTTAAGGTATATATTTAGAACTTATCTTTTTTTCGGAATTAAATATTTTTATTGTAGTGGTTTCATTGTGTTTTAAATGTATTTAATGTCTTCGACTGGAGATTTTGGGGATTTTATGAAACTATAATTAATATATTATCTTAATTTGTATAATTCTTTGCCGATTTTTGCGGTAGGTATAAACTGGTTACAAACAGAAATTGTTCAAAAGCAGCACTTTAAATCCTAAATTTTATATTTATATCCAATTCAAGCAAATGTACTGCGGTTTAAATATATGTTCGGTCACCTAAATACAACCTGACTTAACACAAAGTGTCATAAAATGTTTGATACGACTAGATATTCATAAGGGCTTCTCCTAAAACAGTATTTCCTTTGTTGGCTTTATCATGTTTCGAATGTTCTTCTCTCAGCTTACGATCGATGCATGTCGCTTTCGTAGCATTGTATATTCTTAAAGAGGATTCATTTATAAATGTAATAAAATATTAAAACTTCATCTGCAAATCACAAAAGAAAACATTCTTTGATCATTTAAAATAGAATTTGAAAGAAAGATGTTGTAAAGATAGAGAAAACTAAGTAAAGTTCTTTCTTCATTTATAATTTAATTATTATTAATTGATTTTATCGAGATCAAATGGTGTGGAGTAATGATTTCACAGTTTTCACTGATTTTGTATTAGTAGTGAGTACTACATACACACACACACACACACATATATATATATATATATATATATATATATATATGAATGCATATATGTAAACATATATATATGTATATATATATATATATTAGCTCTTGAAAATATATTTTCAATTGAGCACTGTAGAATTACAAGCTAATTCTTAAAACAAGAACCACCTGCGTTAATGCGAAGATCTGCAGTAAAATGAATGGAGCACTTCGGTTGCTTGTGGCTTGTTTACATTTGTAAAAACAATACGCTTGATTTGTCTGACTCATTCTGTCGAGTGAAGATATCTCAGTGGTAGAGACTCTGACTAACACCAAATCGGTTGGGTTTCAATCCGGGCTTGAGACATTCGGTTGTGTAATATTGTTTCGCTGTATCACAGCTCATCTATATATATATATATATATATATATATATATATATATATATATATATATATATATATATATCGGTATGAGCACATGCAAGACCCAAGTAGAAACAGGATGCAAGAATTACGAAGAGAAACATTAATAATGCGCAGGAAGAGGAAAGAGTAATCAGTAAAACAATAGATAGCGATTGGTATTGCATCTAAATTTCTGCAGATTATAGTTGGCTGGAAAGGATGGGGCCAGAACGGGATTCCACAAGAGTGAAGTACGAGAAAAGAAACTGTTGGTTGAGAATTTACAGTTGCATGTAACCAGCTCAACACTAAATTGATTTCATCTGGACGTGATTCTAGTACTGATTAAATTCCAAAGTCTACGTACTGTATTGAAGAACTCATCTTAGCAATTACCATAATAATAAATGTCTGGAAATAAAAGACCAGCATTTTGAGGATCGCTTGTAGAATTCCAATAGGTTTGTATTAATCTTGTGATGCCTGGATAAATTTAGTAATACAATATCTATAAAATTTGTCCATTTTTGGAGTGTGTATACATTTTTGGGTGTACTCACTCTCCTCATATATATATATATATATATATATATATATATATATATATTTGTGAATAAGTTTGTTTACTGTAATGTTTCGTTAGAATCCATAGAAAAAAAAACTTGTTGAAGGTCACTGTTGATTTGATAATGTCAGTCCCTAATATCGACGCGCAGTGATCTTTGCAGCCTACGACAGGGAGTGCTAATTTCTAAGGGATTTTTGCCTGGCAGTACGGTGTTATTCCATTTAAAAAATATGAATAAATCAAGTACATTTTCTTTACATTGCTAATACTCTGAGAAAAAAAAGGGCAAGGCAATCGAATGTCACTGGGCTTCCATTGAATCAAAAGAAAACAAAAAGTAGTTTGAACTTTCAATCGAAAATGTTGTGAATGGAAACGCCATGTTTTCTCTCTTTTTGTTCAATTGAATCCAGTTCATGAATACATTCTGATTACATCATCAGAGTGTTAGGCCTGATTTTCTTTCGATCAGTTTCTTCCTCTTTTCTTGCATATCTCTCTCTCTCTCTCTCTCTCTCTCTCTCTCTCTATCTATCTATCTATCTATCTATCTATATATCTATCTATCTAGTTTCTTTCGTTCTTGCTCTTGAATTTCAATTAAACATTTTTGTTTTCTGTCTATTATATTTATATCATTCTGCTTTTCGTACGTCGTATTTTTTTCATCTTAATTTTCTTTTGTTCCATACATAGTATTTTTGTCAAATATGCTTCATATTTTCATGGATGAATTTTCCCTTTATTTTCGGGTGTTTTCTTCGTTCTCTTTTATCTATATTTAGTTCATTATCGATTAGTTTTTATCGCTGCAATATGTTCCTTCATCCTTTATTTTTATCTAAATTTTCAATTAAATTTCGAAGATTTATACTTCGTTTTTATCTTGAATTATTCGCTTCTTCTTTTTGTCTCTCACGAGTCTCAGGTTTTTCGTTTTCTGTTCTTTTATTTTTATTGATTTTTACTTTTATTTGCATCATTTCGACCCCATCTTCAGAAATTATTTTCATTTCATTCTGTTTCTTTTCGTTTGTAAATTTCTCTTAAATTATTTTTTCTTGTTTTCTTAATTCTTCCCTTCATCTCGGTCTCTTATATGTCTTTCTTTCTTTCTTTCTTTTTTGTTACTCTTTTTCTTCTTCCTATTTTTTTTTTTTTTTTTTTACTTTGGCTAATTTTTCTATTTTTAGCTTCCGTTCTTTCTTTCAGTGTTTCTTTTTCTTCTTTCTTTCTATTTTTGCTAGATTTTTCACTTAATTTTCGCTATTTTTCTTTCTTATTCTTTTTTTTTTGCTTTCTAAATTTCGCCATTTTAACATTCATCCCCATCATTTATATATATTCCTGTTCTCTTTTTCTTTTTCTTTCTTTCTTTCTTTCTTTCTTTCTTTCTTCATATTCCCATGTTTACCCTTTCATTAATTTATTCTTTCTTTCTTGAATTTTTCTGTTTACCTTTTCTTTTTTGAATTTTTCTGTTTACCTTTTCTTTCTTTCTTTCTTCTTTTTTCTTTCTTTCTTTCTTCTTTCTTTCTTTCTTTCTTTCTTCATATTCACATGTTTACCTTTTCATTAATTAATTCTTTCTTTTATTTTTCCTTCTTGAATTTTTCTGTTTACCTTTTCTTTCTTTCTTTCTTTCTTCCTTCGTTTTCCCATGTTTACCTTTTCATTAATTTATTCTTTCTTTTTTGAATTTTTCTGTTTACCTTTTCTTTCTTTATTTCTTTCTTTCTTCATATTCCCATGTTTACCTTTTCATTAATTTATTCTTTCTTTTATTCTCTCCTTCTTGAATTTTTCTGTTTAACTTTTCTTTCTTTCTTTCTTTCTTTCTTTCTTTCTTTCTTTCTTTCTTCCTTCGTTTTTCCATGTTTAACTTTTCATTAATTTATGCTTTCTTTTATTTTTCTTTCGTGTAGTTTTCCGTTTTCTTTCTTCCTTCCTTTCTTTGTTTCTTTGTTTCTGTCTTTCTTTCTTTCTTTGTTTCTTTCTTTCTAACGTTCTTCATATTTCGATGTTTACCTTTTATGAATTTACTATTTCTTTTATTCTGTCTTTCTTTCTTGAATTTTTCTTTGTTTAACATTTATGTTTCTTCCTTTCTTTCTTTCTTTCTTCATTTTTCCATGTTTACTTTTTCATTAATTCATTCTTTGATTATTTTTCCATGTTTAACTTTTCCTTCTTTCTTTCTCAATTTCTCTGTCCTACTTTTCCTGTTCATTCATAAACCCGCAACAACGGACAGCACCGCATGTTGCTAATTATCCAATTAGAGACGCCACGAGTCAAAATAAGGCGCTATATCAAGTACCATGGTGTTAACAAGAGAACCCAGACGGGTCTTCTGCTCCCATATTTCAAGGAAGCTGAACTGAACAGCTGGGTGTGCATCTAATACCAATTGCATTAAATATGGATGTGAATGCAACTACAGAAACACGACATCTCTGGTCACGATCATTAAAACACTTGATCGGCCACTCACTTCTCTACGGTGATCGAAAAGACTTTCTATCAGATATTTAAGCTAGAGTTAAACCTTAGGTCGAGGAATTTCAAATTTCCCTACAATTTCAGAAATTGTATGACCTATCCACCTGATTCTAATTACCATCCCTTCTTCAAAGTGAAATTAGTGTCAAATGGGGGTTATACCGAATTTCAAGTTGTTTGAATGTAAATGATATAGCTGCCGGCATTTCCCTGATGTCAAACTATGATGGCGCAATTAGGCATTAACTTCGCAAACTGCTAACTCATGACTTTTGGCACGTTAGGGTATATAGTAAATTAAAATTAAAATAATGGCTACAACAACATTAAAACTCATTTATTTTACGCAGCATATGTTTATTTTTTTTTTAAATATCTACCTCTTGTAATACACATTTCAATTTTCGAAATTTATATAAATCTGACATTACGCAATGGTAAACGGAGATCATTATTTACTCTGCCAAACAATTATGTAGCGCCAGAGATAGATGCAACCATGTGTGAATGATTCGTATATATATATATATATATATATATATATATATATATATATATATATATATATATATAGTGATCATTGATGTCAATTGTCAATACCAATCGGTGACGCCCCGTTTCATACTGAACAAAATATTCATGAAACAGACTCAAGAAAAGTTATGGAGTAAAGATGTATGACAAAGTAGAAAATAATTTATGTGTCTTTTCAGACTTTTGGGGACTTCATCAGACTAAGTGCGCTTACGTTGATGCGACTATATATATGCACAAGCGTGTGAATCTGGGAATCATATATATATATATATATATATATATATATATGTGTGTGTGTGTGTGTGTGTGTGTGTGTGTGTGTGTGTGTGTGTGTGTGTGTGTGTGTATTTATGTGTGTGTGTGTGTTTATGTAAGTATTATCAGAGATTATAATAAAACATTTCGAAATTGCTACACAAAAGATTCCATGTTTCAATACTATGATTGTACTTCTTCAGGCTATGGTGTGTAACTGGTGATTAAAATGATTTTAAGGAAATTTAAAAATAATGCGTTACCTCTTTTCCGAAATCTAAAGGAGGACATAATATATTTCTCTGTTTTGTATTGAGTATTTTTAAATGTCATTCATACATCAACTTTTTATTCATATTTTCTTTCTCTCTCTCTCTCTCTCACACACACACACACGCACACATATATATATATGCATGCATATATATATATATATATATATATATATATATATATATATTTTATTTTTAAAAAAATTATAACATAAGTATGTTATAATATCACTACAAAAATAGCCATTTTGTTTCAACACAATCTGTTTCTTATCAAGTGATGATGTTGAAAAGAAAATAAATGGTTTTAAAAGTTTTCAGATTAATTAACGATCCTACACTAGGTGGAAACATTGTTACAAAAGCTAGAATAACCAATCAAAAACGAAGTATAGAAAGATTCAAAAAACTTGACAACGAAATCATGTTATAATAGCTTTTCAGATCTTTAAATACGTGTAATATTAAAAATAATTTATACTAACCCATAATTATAAAATTATATGATAAAATTTAATATTAAAATTAAAAACTGGCAATTTTAAAATCCAACTTTACTCACTATTAAGTTTAAAAACTACAAAATTATTGAGAAAAGAAAAAATATATATGTTTATTCAATTCATTTCTTCATTGAAATTACGTTCGACAAGACGCTACAATATATCCGGTCATTTGACAATACATGTATATATATTTTTTATTCTAAAGTGTGTGAATGTGGTCTTAAACTCACGCGCAAAACAACAAAAACACAATCAGATTATAATACATAAGCACCCAGACATAATTAGACATACACACATACACAAAAAAAAATATATATATATATATAGTGATTATCATCTTTTGACAGAAGACGACCATCTCGATAACAAATTTATTTTCTTTTTTTATAACTTTCAGACTCACAGGTCATGAGAGCGCAGATAACTTTTTAAACCAGCCTTAGTTTTACAAGCTTTTGCGCAAATGTTGCTTCTGAAAGGGAGATCCCCCAAGTTCAAAGGGAATGGCATCAACATGAATTTTCATGCGCCTTTTTAATACAGAAGCTGACTTGAATACTTTATGGCACAGTGTACAAAATGCCAAACAGATTGATTTCTGGCTACTTTCAATGGATCGAGCCTGATGAGGTCTAAGGTGACTCTGATGACCTTCTGTTTGAAAGAGCAAAATTAGCACATAAACTACATAAATGTTGTAAGGTTAGCGTGGAAAATAGAGCTTCAAGTTTACTTTTGCCTTAATCTTAACATGTTCCACCTTGTCCTCTTCAATCTGGTTACAAATTTGAGGAACTACCGTTCTCCACGAATGTCGATATTCAGCCTCTAGTTCCCAGTTACCAATTGATATCCCAAGAGATTTGAGATTGGGATATGCAATATTTAACGCGCTTTCTAGGTTTGTGCCTGGGACGCTAGCCGGCACCACAATACAAGGAACATTTAGGCAAATTTGAATTATCCATGTGCACCAAGTGACCTGCCCATATATATATATATATATATATATATATATATATATATATACATACACACAAACATACACATATATATAGAGAGAGAAAGAGAGATTTATACATATATATACATATATACATATATACACACATATATATATACACACAAGCACACACATATATATGTAAAATTAAAATTTGAAGTTCCGTTTCAGTTATAATTTATTTCGTGAATATTTTTAAACTCATCTCTTCAGACTGAAAGTTCTTATTAAAGTGGAACAATTCAGCCAGGTATATTAAATGAACAGGAGGAGAAGAAAGGGGGAAAGTAAGAAGAAAAATAAGAGATTTTCGAATATAATTCCTTTTAAAACATAAGCATGAGAGCTAGAGGAAGATTAAGAGTTATGTGGGCGTATATACAGCCACCCGCCAATTAGTACAGCTAGTTTGTACATTAAAAATACGCACCAAATCGAAAACGCATTCAGCGAATATTAACAAAAATTGATAAACAAAATGGTTGCCCATATTCCTTTTCTTAAATTTTAGAAAATTTTAATTAAACAGTAACTATGAAAAATCAATTTTCAATTATTATGGTTCAACTGAAGAATGTTTTAACGCACTAATCAAATATTATTCATGAACTAATCGAATATTGCTATAAATGATTTCTGTGCACTAATCGAAAACATATTAATCAAATGCGCATTAATCCAGAGTTTTCTTGTACTTATCTATTCGAATATTTTCTTTCTTGCATTATATGCCATTGGACAATATATATCATCCGTTTATATCGTTAATGCTCAAATACATTTAACAAAAAGTGTGTCCACGAAAACAAATTCAAGATAAAACTCCCACAAGTATATAATTAGATGAGTAAACATATCGAAAGCGGTTTCATCAAACTGAATTTATTTGCAAACGGCTAATGATTAGAAAATGTATTACTTGATTTCGAACCAGAATCATGGAAGTTACCATTATATAATTCTATGATTTACCCGAAAACTGATTTCATCGAAACCATAGAATCAAATCATCCCTTGGTTGACTGGAATATTTCATCAAAATTCAAAAGTTAAAGAATTAAAGGGATATAAAATTTATATCTGAAAAATTCACTTTTATTTAGAATTCATTGGATTCATAGATACATTTTTTTTTTCAGAAAGATCTGTAAGATTTATTTACAAATAAGTTCTGTCTGCTGATTCGGCATAATATATATAAATATATATATATATATATATATATATATATATATATGTGTGTGTGTGTGTGTGTGTGTGTGTGTGTGTGTGTGTGTTGTTTAGAGAGTTTCATCCTCTTTGCGATCATCCGAGTTTGTCTGACGATCGAAAAGAGCGTGAAACGTAGGTCACATCTCACATCAATCCAACTATGATACCCCTATCTTTGATATTGAGCGCTTCCTAATAAGTACCGCGAATACATAAAAATTATATATATATATATATATATATATATATATATATATATATATATATGTGTGTGTGTGTGTGTCTGTGTGTGTGTTCGTGTGTGTGACGATCAGAAGACCCGAATCCATTAGGATTATAGGGACACAACATTTACTGCAGCCTTAGAAGCAGTAATGTTTTTTGGGCAAGATAGGCGGTCGGAGCCTTAACCTAACCCCAGTGGTTTTAATTCAGAATTTTCCCTCTTCTGGAATGGTTACCAAACAGCACTATAGGGCCCAGTCTTTCCTACCATTTACCGATAGCTTGGTGGAGATTTTAGGGCATTTGCGCGTAAGTGATAGCAACCAACTCTTCGATTTCCAATCCCGAACTGTTTTCCGTCACATCACATCACATCACCGCCCGTCATCAGGGCTTATAGTATCTGATACTTCCAAGCGGTCACTCATCTAAGTACTGACCAGAGTCGACGTTTCTTAATCATACCGGAAGCGGTGTATCAATGTGATGTAGCCGTAAGCAATTAAATGTGAATCGGAAACTGACAAAATTATAAGATAAAGAACAAACAGGAAAGATTTATCGATCTAACAGGCTTCCCTTTTTTTTAAATGTTCGTCATAAAGTGAGATATGCGTAAAAAGAAATAAATACTTTTGTGTTGTTTGATTTTCATTGGTCAGTCATGTATCACATGCATTCCATTCTTATTATAATAACGGTGGTTTGAAAGAGTCGAAATCATGTGATACATGATGACCAATAAAATTCAAACA